GGGGGGGGGGCGCAAATTCAGGCCCCCCTGTGTGGGGAGCACTGAGGGGACAACCTCGGCCAACCAGTTGCGGAGGACATGTGGAAACTAAGGACTATAGCATGGTTCTTTATGGGGGCATTTTTTTTTTTTCTTTTCACACTAGGGGAGTGAATCTTCAGCTAGATGATGGAAAGATTCCTCTGCCTTTTTTTTTTGGGGGGGGGGGGGGGGGGGGGGGGGGCTTATAGGCCAAATCAGGCATCAGGACTTAGTATGGGGGATTATGGAGCTTTGCTCCACCACGCATCGAAATGTGAGTGTACTGAAAAGAAAAGGTGGCACGATGTATCTTTTCACCTTCTTGCTGAAGATGCATGCACTACAAATGCGAGTAGTGCCACAAGCATATACATCCTGCTGTTGTTTTTTTTGTTTTTTTTTTTTTTCCTACCGTTGTCTTTTACCCATCCTGCCTTTTTTTTTTTTTGCTATTTTTTCCCTGCCGCTTTCTTTCACCCCATCTGTCCGAATGATGATCTATTATCAATTTATAGAAAATTATCAATTTACTAAATTATTATGTATTACCTGTCTCACAAAATCCGGACCAATGCTCCACTGTGTAGATCTCACTGATAGACATCTGGGGGCCACCAAATGTGCAGGTGACCCCACTACAGCGCAAGTGACCCCTCCAATGTGCACTCGACCCCCACTACCATCTATAGAACGCCTGGTCTTTGTCGTGGCATCTATAGACAGGACGTTGGCCCAATTATAGCTATAATAATGACCGGGCGTTCTATTTGGGCGAAGACAGTAGAGCAGCCATTCATTCAATGCTGTCAAGCTAACATGAGGACCGTCCTGGATGTATCTGACCGCTTTTATTGCCACCCAAGGATGCACGTGACCCCCCACCACATCCACATGCAATTTGAAGAAGTCCTAGTCATGAGTGTGCCCTTAGCCACTTCACACATTTGAGGGCCTATCTCCTGCCCACCATCCAATCCCCGGGGTCACCCCGGGCAAGTTGCCTGGGGGTCACCTGCACGCGACACCCTGTGCAGGCCAAAATTCAGCCCTTCTTTGTTTCTTTTTTTTTTGCGAGGTGGAGGTGGGGGGTTCTGC